CCCCAAAACCCCAAAACCCCAAAACCCCAAAACCCCAAAACCCCTGTCTTTCTTCCAAAAATGGACAGATCAGCTTCATAAAATATTTTTAATTTAAACATGAATGCCTCTAGCTCAGAAAGAAGCTCTTCGCAAACTCAAATTTTATCAAACCAGCAGCATGAAGAGCCTGATGTACAAGTTCAAAGAGTGATTTCTACCGAAGAAGTGCCGATACTCGAAGGCCAGATTATCACAATCCGTATAAAGACCATGGATGAGCAGGAGAAATAGGGTCCAAGTCTGCCAAAATGCCAAAGTAATTGACTTAAAGCACAAAATCCTAGAAGATCTCTCTGTACCACTGGAACGACAACGCCTCATATTCATGGGCAAGCAGCTTAAGGACAATCTTACTCTTCATTCATACAAGATTAAAGAGGATGTTTGCATACTTCTAGTAGCGAACAGAGCACAGAATAGAAGTCAGCCTCCAAGAAGGACCAGTCAGGGACAAGACCAGAACCAACAGAGCGATGATGACCTTGAATCATTCTTGTTCACCGCGCTTAATGAATCTGCTCAGATGAGAAGGAATCGAAGATTACTATTCCAACAAAACGCTAGCTCCTTCCTTAGAAATATCAGGCTGAATATAAGCGAAAGTAGGGAGGCAATTACACAAAATATTGCATCGACCCAGATGTTGTTAGATACCCGCAAAGAGATAGAAGAGGCCAAGGCTATTCAGCCAAACTCTTCCGACCCAATCGACTGATTCGACTTCGACCGGAGGCAACTCAAGATCGGTCAATGGATAGATGTCAAAGATACGATAAACCAATGGCTTGAGGCTCAAGTTGTCCAGATCAGAGATACCAGTGTCTATGTTCACTACAATGGATGGGGGGCTCGATGGGATGAGTGGATCCAAATGGACTCTTCTAGGATTGCTCTCTTTAGGACACATACAATCCAAGCTGCCACAAGCAAGTATCTAAGCCCATGCCCTATAAATCCTCCAGATTCCGCTGAGAACGTCTCAGTCCACTGTGAAGATGAAACAATGCTGGATAACTTTGAAAAAGTGATCGAACTATCTTCAGAATCTCTTGCATTAATGAAAAAGCTGAAATCTCTTAAGAAATAAATACAGCAAGAGAAGAAAAATTCAGCATGAGAAGTTCATATTTTCTTCAAATTTCCTTACCAAAATTCATGAAGAAAGCAAGCTAGAAAGTTGCATTGAGGAAACCAAGGAAGAAATAGATGCTGAGGACGAAGAGTTTGAGAATAAATCAACCACAGAAATGGCCGTGGAGAATTCTCTTCTACATCAGCAGATCATGTTGTTATCGGGACAATTAGCCCCGGTAATGGATCGAATAGGCCGGATACATATTGATTTCTCCCCACATCTTCTTAACTCTGTTGATCGATATAATGATGACATTAATAACCAGCAGAGAAACGGCCAGGAAAATACTGAGAGAAACAGGACACATAATCCAAGAAGACGGAGCAGGCTCCAAAATGAGAACAATGATGAAAGTTCTGACAATGACCTTTCAAGAATAGCTGATAATGGGTCTGAACAAGAATCAAACCAAGAGAGTCCACAGCCAGAGCAGGCCCAGAGCCAAAATAGAGGAGAGAGCAGTGAAATTAGAAATAGGCTCAGATCTATTTCAAGCACCATTAGTAGAATAAGATCCTCAATTAATTCAATGAGAACCATGATCTTTGATAACCTAGGAAGAGATGATGGTTTTGACCTTAATGCATCTCTAAACGAAGTCAGGGAGGAGCACAAGGTAGTGGTCAATGCCCAAATTCCACTAATCTTTTCCCCAGGTGATATCGCATCTGTTCATAACAGGCTGAATAGGTTCATTTCCGGTCTCGCTATTGATCAAGGGTCTTTAGACAGGATGCTAGATCGGCAAGCAATGACTGGAACTACGTCTGAAGGATTATTAGAGAACATTGCTAATGGTAATAACAATGAGAGGAGTTCCTCTTCTTCTAGTATTTCAAGCGATAACCCAAGAGCGAATAATAACGATAATAGTGATGAAAATAATGAAGAGGACGATAATGAAGAAGCCCAAAGTGATGGAGAAGAAAGCAATAGTGACAATAATAGAATCAACCATCATCGTTCATCAGGCTTATTTGACCTTTTAGAACTCCCTGAGTATGATAGAACGGAATTTGGAATCTTCGGGAATAACTTCGGAGGATTTGGAGATGGTCCTGAAACAATAGAATTCCATATCCACACCTATATGCCAAACAGGCCACCCCTAAGTACAAATACTCCTTCTATTGCCATTCCTGAGGTACAAACGCCTCTCCAAGACTCGCAAAATCTCCTTCACCCTCTCTCAAACAGTTCTATCCCCACGCCTCCAAGATCACCAGAGTCTTTAACTCTGGTCTCCACTGGAGTCCAGACAGAAGGCATCAGGATCAGGCCTGACGCGATCAGCCGGGCAGAACGAGTTCCTCGAAGGGCAACTGATGAAGACCAGTCGGGCTTCAATACAAATCCGTTCAGAAGGACATAAACCTAAAGACACAGAATATGTGTTTCTATTAGTTTATAGTTTTAGGGGTTTTGGGGTTTTGGGGTTTTGGGGTTTTGGGGTTTTGGGG